ACAAGTAACTTACACACTAAATGGCAGTGAATTAGGGATAACCACACACGAGAAGGATTTGGAAATTGTTATAGACAACAAATTAGGCAGCAATATGCAATGTCAATCTGCAGTTGCTAAGGCCAGTAAGATTTTGTCATTTATAAATAGGGGCATAAATTCTCGGGATGAAAATATAATTTTGCCTTTTTATAAATCGCTGGTAAGACCACACCTTGAATATGCTGTGCAATTTTGGGCGCCTGTTCTAAAGAAGGATATCATGGCACTGGAGAGGGTCCAGAGACGAGCTACAAAATTGATAAAAGTAATGGAGCATTTTAGTTATGAAGAAAGGTTAAAAAAATTAAATCTGTTTAGTTTGGAAAAACGGCTCCTGAGAGGGGATATGATAACTTTATACAAATATATTCGGGGCCAGTACAAACCTTTATATGGAAATCTATTCATAAACAGGGCTATACATAGGACACGAGGTCACACATTTAGGCTAGAAGAAAGGAGATTTCATGTAAGGCAAAGAAAAGGTTTTTTTACAGTAAGAACAATAAAGATATGGAATTCTCTGCCTGAAGAGGTGGTTTTGTCAGAGTCCATACAGATGTTTAAACTGAAATTGGATAAATACTTACAAAAACATAACATACAGGGATATAATTTCTAATTAGTGGGGTAATAGCTGCTTGATCCAAGGAGACATCTGACTGCTATTTTGGGGTCAAGAAGGAATTTTTTCCTAGTTTGTGGCAAAATTGGAAGCGCTTCAGACCAGGTTTTTTGCCTTCTTTTGGATCAACAGCAACAACATTTGTGAGGAAGGCTGAACTTGATGGACGCAAGTCTCTTTTCAGCTATGTAACTATGTAACTATGTAACGATAAGGTATTTGTTAAAGTTCCCTCCGGTATGAGATAGTGCTTCTGGTGTCTCTAGTCCAGTGATGGCGAACCTTTTTGAACCCGAGTGCCCAAACCGCAATACATGCCAACTTTTTTTTCCTCAAAGTGCCAACACGGCAATTAAGCCTGAATTCTGAGGTTTAAGTTTAGAAAAAACAACTCATACAGTTGTCCGAACTAGTTAACATCTTTTGTTTTAAAAGAAGAACACAACAGAGAGTTCAATTATACAAATTTTAAAAAATGATATAAATAGATAAAAATTAAGCTTATATTTATTAGTATCTCCAACAAATGCAATGCATACAGACTGACTGCTTAATACATACATACACCGACCTACTGGTAAATGCATACTCAGTCCGCTGAATACACACACACACACAGTCCCCTGAATACACACACACACAGTCCGCTGAATACACACACACACACTGCTGAATACACACACTGCTGAATACATACACTGCTGAATACATACACACACAGTCTGCTGAATACACACACGCAGTCTGCTGAATACACACACGCAGTCTGCTGAATATACACACGTAGTCAGCTGAATACACACACACACACACTGCTGAATACATAAAGACTGCTGAATACACACACACATATACTGCATTGAGGTGCAGTGTATGTGCTTGTGTGTAAGGGTTGTGAGGTGCTGTGTTGTGTGTGAGGGTTGCTGTGTGTGTGGGGGGTAAGGGTGCTGTGTGTGAGGGGAGTAGGGGTGCTGTGTGTGAGGGGGTATGGGTGCTGTGTGTTGGGGGGTAGGGGTGCTGTGTGTTGGGGTAGGGTGCTGTGTGTTGGAGTGTAGGGATGCTGTATGGGGGGCAGGGGTGCTGTGTTGGGTGTAGGGGTACTGTGTTGGGGGGGAGTATGGGTGCTGTGTTGGGGGGTAGGGTTGAAAATGCATTAAAAACATGTTGTTTTTTTAACATCGAATCAGTATCCCTGCCTCCCTTCTTCTTACCTTTGGTGAAGGGGAGGGGGGAACACAGCCATCCCTGGTGGTGGTAAGTATGTATGACAGGAGCCTGCAGCTCTCCTGTCCTCCCGCGCGATGCTGTGTGGAGCGTTGCCATGGTAACGCGCGGCAACGCTCCACACAGCTTGTGGGAGGACAGGAGAGCTGCCTCCTAGATGCCTCCCCCATGCTTCCGGTCCTCCCGACACGGAAGCAGAGTAGGCGCCTGCCGTTTTGGGCAGGCAAGTGCCTACTCTGCAGTGATGGCGAACCTATGGCCGCGTGCCCACAGAGAGGGCCCGGCGTGCCATCACTGCTCTAGTCTGTTCCTGCATGCTTTTTAATGTAAACACAGCCACTAGAGGTGCTTCCAAGTCCACAATCTTTATCAAGGTGCTGAATATTCCCATAGAGATGCAATGATTCAATGCATCTCTCTGACAAGATTCTGATTGGCGCAGCGCTTGGCGTTTTCATGCGCATGTGTAATAGGCTCCCAATGCTTTCCCATGGGAAAACATCAGATTAGCTGAGATCATCAAGTTTGATGATCTTAGCCATGAAGGTACGCTTCGGCGAGACCAGCAAGCCGTTCGGCACTGCTGCTTGACCACACACAATTGGTACAGTCACATGGAAAGGAGGGAGAAGGACTTCCCTGTATCCAAGTAGCACGCCACACACTACACTGCTGCTGCACCGCCTGGCCAGCCCATCAACAATAAGGACGCAACAATATATAGCTCCAACTCTCACTGCGTTAAGATCGACGCAAATGTGCGTGCGTCCTCAGGTCATTGACTCACAAGCACGTTCTGGGCCCTTTCACACCAATCAGGAGTATTTTTAAGGTTATTTAAATCCATATGTGCTTATTTTCGGTGCGCTGTGGTGGTTTCCACCTGCTGGTTATCTGAGAGCGTGTTCTTGTAGTTATTTATCTGGTATTTTGATCTCAGCTTCTTCCCGACTATCCCTTGAACTATTGGCTTTGTCTATGGCTTTGTTTATGCATTTGTCTGTGTCCTTGGCCTCGGCTTGTTACTGACTATTCATGTTATGTTAAATCTGGCCATTCTAAGGCCTGGTAATACATTTATTCTATTTTAGTGTTGTTTTAATCCTGTGTGTTGGGCCGACGTATTGTCCTGACATTGGTTATGCTCAAATCTACTACAGTCCTCAGCCATCCTCAAATAGACTTCATGTTGGGAATGAAGTACAGGATATAACCTGCAGGGATTAGAGTGAGAGAATATATGGGAGTTTCCATTAGTTAATAGTTACCAGGAACAATGGCATAAAATGTTGTTTCAGTTCCATGAGATGGATAAAACTCCCAGGGATCTTTACTGGCTTTTTTTGGTCAGAATGGTTTACACCTTAATATTTGGTGATTTTTCCCTAAAATTGTTCATTTGAGGTCCACAGTTTGTATCAGAGCTTGTATATAAACCATTTGAGTTGGATCTTAGGTGCTTTCTCTTCCCACAACTTATGGAGCTCCTTTTAAAAGCTAAAAAATAAACTCATGTCCAACACCTTGGTGGGTGCAACGCGAGCATGTGACTCTCACCTAATCTTTGGGCTGATAAGAGTAAAATCTATGGTTTAAATGATACATGACATCATACAATGCCTTTATTCACTAAAGTCTAGGAACCTTGGTTATTGTGTACTAATGATACACTGAATTGAATTTATTTTCTACTCCCTTTCATTTCTACTTCTTTGTAATGCTTCTTGATTTTTACATTTTTTTGTGACTCAGAGACATTGGTTGTAAATGATCTTATTCCTGGCTTCTAACAAGTGTCTTTGCCAATAAAATGTAATTGAGGTTGGTAAGCATGTAAAAAAAAAGAATTACTTAATATATTATTGTCAGGATTACTGTTTGATCCAGCACGTAGAACTGTACAGCACGTATGACAAATAAGTAACGTATTACCGGTCCTTAGAATGGCCGGATTTAACGTACAAAGAATAGTCAAAAATACTAGCCGAGGTCAGGGAACACAGAAAGGGACACAGCGATGAGGAAAGCCAGGAGTCAGGATACCAGAATATAGAGAAGTCAATAAACAAAGCCAAAGTCAAAAACCAGGTAGAAAACTATAAACAGGAACGCGCTCTCAGACAACCACAAGGGAAACCACGACAGGGCACTGAGCAGGCTGAGAACTGGGCCTAAATACCCCTCCTTTAGTTCTGATAGGCTGTAACCGGCCTTTGACCCCAAAGTCAGTTACCAGGTTTCATTTGCATAATTGCTGCTCAGCATTAACCCTTCTGTGGATTAGGTTGCTGCTCGGCACAACTTTTCCTGTGTGGACAGTAAATGTCATTAATCACTTTTCTCTAAGCGGATGAATACATGACACCAGGTTTCATTTGCACAATTACTGCTCAGCATTAACCCTTCTGTGGATTAGGTTGCTGCTCGGCACAACTTTTCCTGTGTGGACAGTAAATGTCATTAACCACATTTCTATAAGCGGATGAATATGTGACAATTATCAGTGAGGCAGCTAGGGTTTAACATTTTTCAACTGCAAGCATCAGAGTCACTGTAGTTCATTGTATTATTACAACTCATTTTGGTAGTGATTGTACAAAGACTATGTGGACCCAATACCCATAGTTTATAGCAACCATTTTCAACTGGCTTTACAAAAACGGGTATCCCCAGGCTTATGTGTTGAGTGGATTTCTGTATTAGCCCATTCAACTTTTTTGAATGGCAATAACAGACTGGAACCCCTTGCGGTGGGTTCACTCAGCCTATCACTGCTATCTGCAATACGTAATAACAAGCATGATATTAAACCTTTCAGTTGAATGAGTCTGGGGCACTGATGGCTAACAATGACACAACAAATGTTTGTGAAGTATTTATCAGGTTGCTCAGACAACCTTAACTTAATTCCAAAGTGCATACACTGGCTGATGTTTTCAGATATGGTAAAATAGTTTACAATCATTCCGTAGCTGATGTTGAATTATGTTTCTCAGGAACACCTTGTAGTTCAGTAACAGGTAACAGTCAGAAGATCGGCTACATATAGCTACACTGAAACAAATAAAATTAATTTTTCTGACAATTATATGTATCATATATATGTATGGTTTTTTTTTTTTTTTTTAATTTATGCAGGTGGGCTCCCATCTTCTCATCGAAGCAGAATACAAACACAGAAAAATATACATTGGATGATAGTGCATCGTACAGGTTGAACTCAGAGTTGCAGTTTCCATAATAAGATGCATCAGCCCGATGATAACCCATTTACAGAGTTAAACTCTGGTTAACATTTTTATGTACTGTTTGTTGGCTTAATTCTTGACTAACCGAACACTGTTGGTGCCACTAACCCATAATTATTAACCAGATATAACTATCCATAATAGAATGATTGTATTCACTCAGACCAATTGTATTTATGGGTTCATTGGTACAGGAACTTGGGTTCCACACTTGAGCAGTAAGCAAAAAACTAAATATAGCCACACTCTTATGATATCCAATACATATTCAGCAGTAACTTAGATGAAAAGTGCTGTTTGTTGGGTCTTAATCCTGACTATGCTTGTCTTCTTGCTACCTGACTTTTACATAATTTCGTCTAAGATCCTCTGTTGCTTTTATGAGAATTCTTGTTATTTCTTACCCCTTTCTTTTATATTGTACACACAACTTAATTCTTAAGGGCCAGACAAACCTTGACAAGAGTTGGTGTTGGCACCCATGGCATATTTCATCCAGACACTACTTAATCCCTAAAAGCCAAACACATTTGGGGAGCGAGTATGTTATGATGATAAAACATCACCTTTGTACAGACACAACAGAGAGACATGTTTAGAAGTCAATAATTAAATGCCTGATCAAGTAAAACCCATCAAATGACTGATAATGTACTTTTTTTTCTGTTCCAGAAACTGGTATATATAGCATTTAATCATAATTGTAAATTGTAAATAGTTTTTTTGCTTTGAACAAAGACAAACAATGTCATTATAATTGCATTGGGTATTCCTTCTGGCAGTGCAAACACACATTCCTTTACTTTTTATATTGTCTTATGTATTTTTAATTTATTCTTTATTTTTTTTTTCACACAGTAGTACTGCTGTCAATAGACTTAAGTTCCTATTGCTATAAGAGAGCACATGCCCATGCTATTCTGAAAAGCCTCCGTTTCAAGAATTCCATATTTGCCTTTCTTTTATCGCTTTTCATCATTAACTAAGTCCGCCACCTAATCTACCTATACCATGTTATGTGCCTCTATTTTGTGTTAACCTTTTATTTTTTGTGATAAACTGCAATTTCTTTTAAAATTATATTAAATATTTAGCAAATAATAACAAAATCCAGTTCGTCCCAGGCAAAGCCAAGGTAAATGTTGCATAAATATTGTTTCATTTCCATATTAGGATAAGGAAACATACAGGGTTATTTACTAAAGTGAGAAGTCAAAGTGAATGTCAAATCTAAGGTCAAAATTGCTGAAATGGAAAAATTCTCCAAGTCAGCTACGATTTCAATTCAGTTACTCTGGCTTTAAATTTGAAATTCATTTTGAATTCACTCGGAATTCTTATGTTAGTAAATTACCCTCATAACATTACAAATCTAGGGAAATAACAGTCCGCCCTTCTATAAATAAAACAAGTGGTGATTTCATTTTTGTAGACAGTGATATTCTGTTTCACGTTGTACATCCTTGTTAGAAGTATACTATACGAACCAATAGCTAATGATTATGCACTTATGGTAAACTCATTTCCAATTCAAATCCAAATCCATTTCTATATTGATGACCTTTAACAAGGTCACACAATTGGAGCACATCAGTTAGTTGAAATGACTAGCAAATAAGGTACTTTGGTGACCTTTCTGCTTCCTTTTATCATATTAAACAAAAACCTGTATTTCATACCAGTGACTTTCCCGTAGTTATTCAATCATGTAAGAAGATACACTAAGGCAGTGTTAGTACATAGCTGGGGAGATAACGTAATCTAACAGATTGATTTAATAAAAAGGTAATAGAAAAATGGAAATTTGCCATGAATTATGTGGAAGAGAAATATGAGTGGAGAGATGTAATGTGGCTACAATAGATTGTTCAGGCATTCAGAAAGCAATGGTTCCAATCTTGGCAAGAGTATAAGACAAATAGCATTTAATCTGTGCTACACTGTCAGGTTGTTAAACCTCTTTATTGCAGACCTTTAATGAATCAGTTTGTCCTCCCCCACTATCGGAAACCACCAGCTTTGGAGTCCTATCCAATTTGCAAAAAACAGCCAAAGAAAGGGTTAATTAATGGGTAATCCATAGTGTTATTTAACCCTGTCCCACGGACTATACAAAATTTTTGATATTCAGCTTATTTGGCTTAATAAACAGATGATAATGTGAGTTTTTATGCTATTAATGGTGGCACTTCTTTCGTTGTGTATATATATCATGCTGTTGCAGTGCATATTTGTGAATGGAACAATATGTTGTAATGATTGGCATTCTGTAATGTACGCTGTCTTTGCAGTACAAATGCTAATCAGATTTTGTGTGATTTAGAGAAAAGGAATTAGTGCAGCCGTTCACACCATTTTTTTTTTTTTACAATTGTCTTTTTACAATTGTGTGTGACAATACAATATCCCTTCTTCCTGCCCTCTGCATTTTATATTTTAATGTAATTAATAGCACGGTTTGCTTTGAAATTGCCTGTTTAATGACATGAACGTTTTGAGTGTAGAAGTGCATTTTATAGTAAACCAACAGTTTGCTACATATACATTACAGTGCAGTCAGTTGTGTGAGGTCAGGGGCTTGCACTGTCGCCAATTGAATTACGTATAAGTTAAATACAGATTTCCTGGTATTGTGATTTGAATGGGTAACCTTGTCTGTACTGGCAGTGCATACAACAGTCATAGTGTAACAGTATATGTGGGGTGGCACTTTGGGAAAGGTGAATTTCCACCGATAGTCAACTAGGTTCTAACCGCTTTCTCCCTTATCCCGATTCCGTGGCCCTGGTTGACCGTCTCCTCTGTTTAACCTTCCTGCTCCCCTTCTTCTCCTCTTTCCCCTAGATATTCTACCTTTCTCATCTGTCTCTGTCTCTCCCACTCCCCGCTCACTTTGGGTATCAGAAGATTCATCTATATATGCCATATTTTCACCCCACTCCAATGGCCGCTTTCCTGCATCGTCTGCCTTTAAGACAGGAGTGAGTGGAGGTGTCTGAGGGATGATAGGAGTAGAAGCTGGTACATTTTGTGAGAGTTCCCTTTTTGATTCTTCTTCTTCATCTTCTACCTCTTCTTCCTCCTCTTCCTCATCATCTTCTCCATCTCCAGGCTCTTCCCCAGGTTGACGCTTGCCCCCTTTCTGGCGGCTTAACCTCTCCTGAAAGTTGAGGCTAAGCCCGCGGTGAGGGAGTTTCATTTCTGCAGTCATACTAGCAGTCCAGTTTGCAGCATGAGCAGTCAATCCTCCCATCTAAAAGGTTTCAAAGAAAACATCACATAAGTCATTTACAAATACACTTGAAATTAAGAAGCAGACACCACCTCGCTATCTGTTCTAAAGGGGGTACTTTCAAAACTGGAAATGGGAAACTGGCAGAAAAGGGCAGTAATGTAAGAAATCATAAGAAAGCTCTAAATTATGGGTTGTTTAGTTTACACACAGTGTAAATCAAGCAGGAATGATAAGTGTCAGCTGGTGGTGATGGGAAGGAAGATCTTAGTGAATTGTTAGATACTCATCCATCCACCCACCCATTAATCCATCCAGATGAGCCTTCTCCAAAAGCTAATTGAAGCATCATTCTATCCAGGGTTCTTATTTTGGTTTAGCATTTCTTTATGCTCAGTTTTGCCACACATGTACAAAACTAAGAAATCAAAGATGATCCAGGCACTCAAGGGTGATAAGATGGCATATTTATTGAAGAGTCTGCGCATGAATGGACACAGCAACGTTTCGACCTCAAATCAGGTCTTTATGAAGCTAGCATGATAAAGCCCTCATTTGAGGTCAAAACGTTGCTGTGTCACTTCATGCGCTGACTCTTCAACACATTCACTCTTCTAACTGTTCAGCACAAGCAAGGCTATATGGGGTCATTTAACCATTGATTCACTGAATTACTTTATACTACAGCATCAAATAGTCATAAACCCTTCAAGCATACCTCAGCCCGAGTTTTCCTGGACAGGACTCTCAGCCAGTTTCCGATCATTGTCAAGATAGATGCAAAGTAAGCAAGGCCGAGTAATATCCAAAACCACACCAACGGCTTGTACCACTGGTACTCAAGGCCTGCTCCATCTCCTGGAATGCAGAGTAGGAGCATGAATCTCTACAGCATTCATTTATAGGAGTGTACTTTGATATAAAAAGGTTATTGCACACTATACAGAAATTATATCACTCTATTGACATGATATTGGAAGGATGTATGAATTCAAATTACACAATTACATGCTTTTGAAAATCCAGGTTGTATAACAATTATAAACATATAGTATAAACATGAACCAGTTTCATTACCCTCCAGGCCATAATTAACTGCAAGGCATCTTCATCTCCTACTATTTAACCTTTCACTTACCGTACTTTATTTGCCTTTTTTCTCAAACATATCTCAATTCAAGCCCTAATCCTGGGTATAACGTGATATGCCTATCCTGATCTGCCAGAATTATTGGGATATAAACTCCCAAATTGTACCGGTCATCATTTTTACAACAGAAACTGACATAGATTCCATCCCAGACTGTAAGTCCCATTAGTCTCAGACAGTATTGGGACATGTAAGTCCCAGTTCTGCCCTTACTGTAATACCATACCCTTAACCCCTACACAACCCTAAAATACTACAGTAAACTTTAACACCTACACTACACTAACACATAATTAAACAATAACTCTAATATACTACAGTTAACATTAACTCCTACACTACGCTAACACCATCACTAAACAATAACTCTAATCATTAAACAACCACCCCAACACTAAAGTAACACTATCACTAAGCAGTAATCCCTACACTATTTTTACACTTACTGTAACACTAACCTTTAAAGAACACTCCAAATAGCATACATACAGAGGGAATATGGAGAAAGGTAAAGGTGTGAGGGGAGAATATAGAGGGAGTGACAGAGAGTTGGTGGGTGGGGGGAAAGAGAGAGAATAAGTGAGAGTATTGAGAAAATATTGAGAAAGTTGAAGGTATGATGGGAGAATATAAGGAGAGGGATAGAAAGTGGGAAGACATACGCAGAAAGTTGCAGGTGTGTGTGGGAGAATATGGAAAGAGAGTGTTGAGGGGGAGAATATTGTGACAGGGACAGACGATGGGAGGTGAATATAGAAAGATGGTTTGAAAGTGGAGGAAGAATATATAGAGGGAGAGAAGAGGGGGGGAGAATATGATGAATGTGACGATAGACACCATCACCAGGAGTTTCAGATGAACACTTTATGTAGGACTCTGGTCTACTCGTATGTCTAAGTCACCTTGTGCCCATTATAGGTTCAGGGTGTGTATAATATAATTGGTTGTGGTTAAATGTTTTGTGTGCTCTCCTGCCTTGCTGATGCTTGTTATCAACTAGGCGGATTTGGCTATGGAGCTTGTATAGCTCCCTCTTTTGGTAGAGACAGCTATATGCACTACCTGAATAGCAAGGCTTGTTAATTTGCATAATCAGGCAGATTTGCATATTGCTAATAGAGATATTTTGTGTTAATGATTGTTTCAACCAGTTATTACATCCAAGGGTTCACATACTTTTTCCACCTGCAATGTGAATGTTTACATGGTGTGTTCAATAAAAACATGGCAACATTTTATTCTTTGTGTGTTATTAGTTTAAGCAGACTGTGATTGTCTATTGTTGTGACTTAGATGATGATCAGATCACATTTTATGACCAATTTGTGTAGAAATCCAGATCATTCCAAAGGGTTCACATACTTTTTCTTGCAACTGTATGTTTTGAGTATATGTGCTAGTCCCGAATGAAAATAAAGCTAAGCATGTTCCTTTTCAAACTCTGTCCTGTGTGGCTTTTTAGGGATCCTAGTAACAGAATCTAACAACCAGCTGGGTGGCTGCACAGTCCCTCTAGCCCGGGGGCAAAAAGAGAGCTAGGCTTGAGAGCCGAAAGTGTCTTTATAAAGACAAGAGCTATCACATTGCAGCCAGTGGTACAGAACCTGCCTGGGAGAAGATCTGCAGAGGTATAGGTAGAGGGAATGATCCCTACCTGAAAGGAAAGAGCTCCAGGGAAACCCAGTCAAGCTTCGTCGACCAGGGCTAAGGTGTTCCTGGGTCACAGCTAGAAAGTAGACTGGGCGGAGGTACTCAGTCGGAGTACAGGAGCTCCGTCACAGTGACACAGGGATAGAAGATGGAAGGAGAATATGAAAGGTTGGTTAGAAAGTGGGGGGAGAATATATAGAGGGGAAGAATATGGAGAAAGTTCAATGTGTGGGGGGGAATATGAAGAGAGGGACTGAAGGTGGGGAAAACTTTGGAGAAAAGAACACAATAAAGGTATGGAAAGAGAAGGGCAAGAATGACATGGGTAAAATACATGGTGCAGATGGGGAGACATTCACTAGTATGGAGTAATACTAAATAATGATGTTATATGAGAGTTTTATAGCTATGGAACTCTGCTAAGCATTTGTACAAAATAAATATTTCATTAATCAGCCTCACAACAAAAAAAAACAAATAAACAATAAAACATATACAGCCCAGAGTTATGCACTAAAAAGTTGAAATCTGAACTGCAAAATTAAAGCTATAGCAGAGTTGGAGAATTATCAAAAACAGCTATGTTTGCCTTAAGTTTGTGAATTGGAAATTTGCTACAATATAAAGTTTATTGAACAACCATGACAGTAATGTGAATTTGAGATTAGTTACGGGGTTCAGCATTTAACCCCTGAAGGTAAGACGGCACCCAAGCATTCCTTTCCCATAACAACTTAAATGAGCTTACATTGTATTCCTTTAAGTATTCAACAAATATTCATCTTATATAAACTTAACAATAACATAGGGAAAGAATTCCTAGGTGCCCACACTAATCAAATGTATCGCGTACGCTGATGTTGAAGAGTGTAAAATGGACAAATAATGCAACGCTGAGTTCTGGAGACATTTATGAAATCAGTTGACCTTCAGTTTTGAAGTTTATTTTCTCATAATACCTGGTTCACACTTATGTATATTTTATAGATAGTAAAATAGATAGATAACTAGATAGACAGACAGAGAATGGGTACAATATACACTGAGTACCTGCCACATAGTCTCCAAAGCCAATGGTGGTCAATGTGATGACTACAAAGTAAATAGCCTCCAACAGTGTCCATTCCTCAATCTTCTGGAAGATAAGGGTGGGGATGAGAACAAACAGTAGGCACCCAATAAGGATGAAGAGAAGAGCGGAAATGACTCTTACAATGGTGGCAGACACTCGCCATTTCTGGTATGAGAAAGAGAAATATAGTGATCAAAATAAAGCATTGATTACCTGTTCACACATTGTTAACATTCTGCTGTGGGAGAGTCATATCATTTCCCTCAATTCTCTCATTTCTCTTAATCCTGTGACATGCATCTCTCAAAACTCTTTTCTTCTAACCCTGTTATATACACAGGGCCATATATTCTCAGTCATTTTATCCTTCCACTAAACCATATTATAAACTCCTTTATTCACAGGCCTATTCATCGTCCTCTCTCATATGTCTTGTTATATACAGGATGTCTGATCGTCCTTTCATTTCACACTATTCATACATAAACCACTAGTAATACATAAAGCAGTCTATCTGTCTGTTTGTTTGTCTGTATAAAAAGAATTAACAAACCAATCGGGAATACATTGATACTTATTAAGGGGATTTAAAAGGAGGGAGGGATTTTATTCTATTTTTGGTTTGCATAGCTTCTTGTCCCTGAGGAAGTCCTTTGCTGGGATGAAACGCATAGGACTGGTGGACTGGTATTTTTACTACCACATGTGCTGTTTTTAACTTATATGTAAGTGATTAAAATTATATTTGCACCTTATTGGTATTTGCACTATATTTTTGCAATTTCTTTTTCTAATATCTATGGTCCAATGCTATTAAAGTTACACAGTAACAGGAGAAACTCATCAATATCATCAAATATATTGTAAAGGCTTGAACTTGGCGTTTAAAGTGTGAGTGGCCAATAGTATCGAACACCAATTTTAAAATCAACATAGTTAAGTACTATGTTGTGCCTTTCTTCTCATTCTCCCTTCCAGATCCACCCCTATTGTTTTTTTTTAATATTTTTATATATGTCTGTCTGTATGCCTGTTTGTCTGTCTATCTATCTCACATTCCTAGCTCTCCAATCATGTTAGCTCTATCTCTTGCAGTCATACCTTTTTTTAAAAAAAATTCTTTATTTATCTTGTGCATAGATTGACAACAGGCGTGCAGAGCCACGACAGCATCTACAAGCATTTTCTTAAATTTTTTAAATCGTGACAGTTTAGACGGCACGTATTTATATTATATGAAGATAGCAAGCTAATAAACGTTGTTTTTATGGTATACCATTCTGAGCTAGACTTGCAAAGAACATTGCTAATTGCGCTTAAGATATGAAACATTTTAGGTGTTTAAATGTATGCCTCTGTAGCGTATTAAAATTAATAAACAAAGAAATAAACTAATAAACGAACAGAAACATAAATGCTAGACAAGATGCTTGTGATATGTTAATTGCTGGCATGAGCAGTTCTGCTGTGTTGGCTAGTCTACATGCTACGTGAGATTTGAGAGTAATTACCGCTAGGCACTCATGAAAAACTATATAAATTATTAGACCAATTTAACGATGACAAGCGTTTGTGTTTCTGGGCATACTGTTAGCACTGGTAGTGAGAGAGTGTCCCAAGTCCTGTTCTATATCACAGCTTGTAGCCGGGCTGCGGGCAGTTGCGATCCCTCACCCTATGCCGCTGGTGTGCATCAGGGGGTAGTCCACACTACGACCCAGCGTGATGGTTTGCGGCAGGCACCAACACCTCAGTTTCTTGCCATGCGGTTTGCTCCAGGCTTGGGTGAGGGCTGGGGTTTTGCTGTTCCGGCCGCTGGCGTGGTTGCCAGCGGTGGGCAGCCATAAACAGGCTGTGGCTTGCAATCTGCAGAATCATCATTATTGTGCCCGCTGGTGCAGGAGCTCTCAGAGAGCACATCCGGCCATCCTGGCTGTCAGGCCCCGCCCCCCAGTCATACCTTTTTTATACCTCACATGGTTCTATCCTCTTAATTCTGTTATATATTTATTTGTATTTATTCATTACTGGCATTTATAAAGTGCCAACATATTTCGCAGCGCTGTTCAATTGGGACAATCACAGTACAATATAAAGACACCACAATAAAAGCAGACCAGTACAAAAGGTAAGAGGGCCCTGAGATATAGCCCCTGAATATATTTTAATACTGTAACTCACACAATCCCATCCCCTCAATCCTGTTATAAACCTAACACACTGCTATCCCCTCAATCTTGTTATAGATATTTCACACAATCCTGCCCACTCAATCTTGTTTTATATACAGTATATTTTACACAGTACTATCTGCTCATTTCTGTTATAAACACCTCACACAGTTTTATCACCCGAATCCCACAATCTTATCCTCTCAATACTGTGGAATACAAAGCTATTATAAACCCACAATGCCTACTTTTTTTTTGTTCACTGAGAGGCATGGCAATAGAAAATATGGTTTAAACTATGGCCTATTGTCTCTTTTGTCTGTACATCTAATCATATGCTTTATTTCTTTCTGTCTGGCCTTTTAACATTCTTATTTTGTTCGTTGACTGAGCCTGCTAGCACTGTACCCGAGCTATCTTCTTTAAGCACATCAGTGTCACATCTCTATGGTACCATAAAGTCTTTCTTCTCCTTTTATCTGTACACACATTCTCAATGTGAAGCATACTACATTATAGAAATACATTTCCAATTCTAGTTCATTGTTTTGTGTTCAGTTCCTCAAAATCCGTGCTGCCAAAGAATCACTTAAGCTTTTTTCCAGTGAGTGAAAAGGCAGTACAGTACTTGGAAATGTGAAACTTAATTTTGTGGTGGCACACATTCTCTGCCTCTGTAATGAATCAAATTATTTAATGGTTTATTTTATTTAATGCTTCCAAGCCTTCAATACAACTTCCTTTCAGTTCTTTCTCCAACTATAAATTTGAGAGATGCCCTGGATAAGAAATGTAGTATTTACTTGTCTCTGACCTGTCGCCCATATTTGGAATTAATATTACCCCTTTCTTTTTCACGACTAGTTCTCCCAACAATGCTTTTTTCTAATTCCTCATATCAATTATAACCTATAAAGTCCTACTATTGCAAAACCAGTGCACCAATCGTATTACAGAAACCTGACATTGTCACATCTTTCACAGAGTCCCATGATCTGCATCCTAAAATTAAAATTGTCCTACTCCTTTTGAACTAAACTATGATTAGACAGTGAAAGCATTAACGAGACACCTGTAGCTCTCATACCTTTAACCTTGTTGCACACTGCTACAATATATTGTCAACTATAAAATCTCACTTTTCAAATGAAAAATAAATAAATAATTGCCTCACTGCCCTTTCCCTTGTTATATATGTGTATATTACATATACGGCTTGGCCACTTGTATTACATTACATATGCCAGTCCTTTCTATCCTGTAAAATATATTTCTCTCAATTCTGTTTAGTCAAACATAACTCTCACCATCATATCCCCTTAGTCCAAGGCCATATTATCATAGGGGCTGCTAGAGATGAAGCTCCAGACTGACACATTAGCACATATTCTGTGATCTCCTGCTCTGAATTGCTAAGTGCCATATTCATAGTGTATTCATAGGTGGCCAGGCTTGGCTAAACAACACGGAAACACCATCAACAACATATATAGTGCCATATAGCTGTTGCACTGTATATAAAATACCTATCTGACAAAAGCAGGGTCTCGCTGCTCCAGTCCCATTGTACAATCCTTCTACACCCCACAACTGTTAGGATAGATTACAAGTGCCCCGTGATCTATTGGCAGTGACCCCTTGCTCTCTCAGCCAATTTTCCCTGTGCCTTCGCCTGTTGCGAAGATTAAATAAAATAGTGGTTCTGGTGCCTACAGCCTATTACTAAAGGCTGAGCAGTGTAAACATTGCTGCCTAAGTCCAACATCCACTAAAGGGATTTCCTGCACACAGAAACTATATGTTTCCCATAGAGGTGCAATTTGCTAGTCTTCCAATGCTATAAGGAAGCATTTGGTTGCCTGAAATCATTAGGATTGATGATCTCAGCCGGGGAGGAGGGGCAACCACTGGGGACCTGTGTACCAGGGGAGTAAAGATTAGTAAAATGCTTTTTAAAAAAAATGTATTTGGGGAGGCAGTCATCTAATTAGTTACAAGAGCACAATAGAGTTAGGAATACATGTTTGTATTTGTGGAATCTCTGTCATAATTCCTTTTCCGGTGGAACAATCATACGATTAGAATAAAAAGCAAAATTATATATGTGTGTGTGTGTGTGTGGAGACACAGTAAGCCAATTTTCTTTAGTTTTGTTGCTCAACAAAGCCAAATGATATTATATGAAGGAAATATAATCCACTGTGGAATGCATTCTTCAAAGGTCATTATTTATGCCTGCTGAAAGACTTGCTATTCTATGTCTCTAATTCTAAAAGCACTGAGACTCTGCACACTCGCACTGATAAACCAGGAGAATACTTTAGTGGTGTGGCATATCCATTAGGCCACAAAAATAAGAGCCTTTAATGAGTACATGATTCAATCTTAGAATAAACTTTTCCATTCAGAAAAGTTTAACATTTTTATTTGTGTAGCAGTCATTTTTAATTTAGGATTAACGGACATTAGGATTAACGGCCAATATATCTACTTGGAGAGAAGCTTTCTGCAAACTTAAAAGAAAATTGAATATTTTAATAACATACAAAAATATGTATGAATTAGAAAAATAGTTGGCATACTGTTATCCTTTACTAGTTAATTTAATTAGACTGGGTCCATTTCTACAATGGCTGTGATAGATAGAAACCCATGATATGCAAGCTAGAATTTGGAACACAGAATCCCGATAGCAGAATAACAAATAGAAGAGATTGGATGATACATCAACAGAATTCATGTACGAAAGCAGGATTAGTACCGGAACACAAAGAGCTGGACTAGAACACTCTGCTTCATAGAGAACACAGAACACAAATTAGGAAAATCTAGAGATGGATGAGAACACACCAACTCAATATAATTGTATACAAGGGCAGAACAGTTTAAGAAGATTAACAAAAAAAAAAAGATAACTTTATATATAACTAACTATAATATAGCCATCATATTATACATGTGGGGGTGCCTTGTGCTTTACTTGAAATAGAGACTTTTCCAACATATCTCCCACTGGATTCACAGGAGCAATACTCTATGCATGGCTGCTGTCAAACATGCATGCACACACACCAGTCAGACACTCGCCGTCTCCAAGGGAAGGTGCATCCATTTTGTAGGCAGACCTACACACCATTACCATGTCCTCTCTCAGACTGCTACAACCCTGTGCTGGATTCATACTTTCCAATTTTGGAAAGTAGAAATTAGTTTAATGCAGTGACAACAGATTATTATATAATTAAAATCATCACGCCATACAGTCGCTACTCTAGAAGGATCCTTTGCTGGTATGGAAATAGTGGAGTAATTGAACACTTTGATTTCATCAAAAAAGGAGAAATTGCTGCATAGCATTAAAATGTACATATTTTAAAATTACAATTTCAATATGGGATGCAAATCCATGTGTTGTTCTTTTGTACACTCCAGTCCTTCTCTAGAAGATCAGAATATTTTTTTGTGAAGAAACATGAGTTCTCCATAGTCAAAAAACCTACAACTAGAAGTATTTGAAAGACATTATATGTATTTGTTAATAAATTATTTGGTCTTTCTACCGACTGACTAATCTAATAATTTAAATAGCTAGATATCATTAACTATGTCTTATAGACATGGTCAATAAGGTCCCTGACCCAGTCACATTACCTTCAGTGACCATTTCATATTGACATTTCAGTATGTTGAATACTGCACACAAAAATCTTATAAGGTGACGTAAAGTCAACTGAATTACAGCTTTTAATATTTAAAAATTGCCAATAAAATCACACATTGCTCATAATACTTTTTTTTGTTTGTTTTAATGTAAGATCATAGAACAATTTTAATCTGAATATTAGGTTTAATGTTGATTGAACATTGAATATGATGTTAATTTTTGTATGGAAATTCTGAACTCTGTGGGGAGTTATTTACTAAAGTGCGAATTGTAAAGAATTAAAAGGACACTATAGACACCCAGACCACTTCAGCTCATTGAAGTGGTCTGGGTGCATTGCCCCAGGTCCCTTAACCCTGAGTAGGTAATTATTGAGAAACTGCAATAAATATCTGCTAGGGTTAACTTCACCTCTAGTGGCTGTCTACAAGACTGTTGGTCGCCGAACAGACGCTAGAAGTCTTCACACTATGCAAAACCCTATGGGGAAATCCTAATGTGAGTGCGACCATTGCCCCTGATGTCGGTGGGGGAGGAGCGGAGTCGGCGAGGGACATCGACGATGGACCCAGGTAAGTGACAGAAGGGGTTTTTAACCCCTTCTGCACCACAGGGGTGAGAGGGCTTAACAAAGGGGAAAGCTATAGTGCCACGAAAACAAGTTTGTTTTTCTGGCACTGTAGTTTCCCTTAAGTAGGGATTATGGCCAGAATAGCTATGCTGTAACTATAACTAACGTGGAATTTTAACAAGGTCTCTGTTTTGTCCTAAAATTTGCAAATCCTAGTTCTTTTTATTATGCAGCCTAGAGAAAACCCATGATGTTTGTGCTATAATTCTCCCTATATGTGAAGGTATGATTTTAGCTAAAATCATACAGTTGGTTTAGTACAATGAAGATTCTAATTTAAAAAGTGAGAAAAATGTGTCAGTCCCTAATGGATTGTAGCTAAATATTTTGATTCCTTAACATGGTCTATAAAAAAGTATATGTTAATGATTAGTTTTTATAAGGTGCTAGCATATTAAGTAGCGCTTTGCAAAACGTAAACAAGAGAAACAAGTACCTGTAATTGGGAAAATACAAATTCCACAAACAGGAACGAGAGTGTTCAAATGAGCTTACACTCCAGAGGAGATCTTGTTTATCTCACATACATTTCCTTGAATATATAAATAATAGATCTCATTTGTTTTCCGTGTAGACGTAATACGGCTTAGTTTAGAGCTGTGAATAGAAGCAGATGGCTGTTTATTCAACCATATTTTGGTGACTGTTCTTACACCCGGTTACAATTATGCAAAACAAAGTAAGTTGTGGATGTGCTTTTTTTAAAAGGTAATTATTTTAACTCTATTGCTTGTGGCACGTTAATCCTTTTAAAGGATAGTAAAGGGTTTAGGAAATGAAATCACTAACAACTTATTTAGATACAATGTAATGAGCATGAAAAAAACATTTTGCATCATATGAAAACTCTGTAGCGCCTTACTTTAATTTAAAAAAAAAAGTTTTTTGTCTATTTTGTCTAAATCTGTATGATTAATTTTAGATGGGGAGGACAATATTAACCTTAAACATATTTTTAATATAATAATCCTTTCAAGTTGTGAAAGGAAATAGATTTTTTTTTGTAAAATGAAGCATATGTAAAAATGAGAAAAACAAGTTATTGTTTAGTGTATGACAGGATCCTTCAGCCATACACATTCACCGAGGGTCCGACACTGTTTGAAAAGTGGCAGATAGTCGTTATGCTTCTGTGCAGGGAATGAAGTGGGGGAGACCATAGAGACTAACTGTCGGAGTCAAACACTGTCTGTCCCAAGGTGTATGTATATGGCTGAAGGATCCTGTCATAGACTAAAGGTGGGGGGGAGTTTTTCTCATTTTCTATATATACTTGATGAAAGTATTATTATATTAAAAATAGTTTTGAGGTGACTGTTGACTTTACAGGACCTCTCTACTGTTAACAATTATGAGGATCTGGGATTCCTGTTTGTGGGAGGAAGGGGTATGGGTAATCTTTGTCTGGCGGGAGCAGGGGGTGCAGAAGCTCCCGATCTGTGTGTGTATGGGAGGTGGGGATGCTGTAGTGGGCTACGGAATTAATGGAAAATTGAAATGTAGGTATAAAAGTGCTGTTCAGTGGGGGTTCCCGTGCACAGGCAACTGTAATTTCTAATACCAGTCTGCATTTCGGTTTGCAATTAGTAGAGACAGCATTACAAACTGAAATGCCATTATATTTGAAATGTGTTGACGGTATAAAGTGTATGATTCTCCATGAGCATCACGTATTTCATACTGATTGGTCATCAGCAAGTGTCTAAACCAAAGCTGATTGATATTCTGGCCTGAATTCTCTAGCAAGCTGCCAAGTGCAGTTTGTCAGAAAAAATAAAGTGGAAAGAAAATGTGATCTTTATACAGCTTTTGAAAATCGTATTAAATACACTCTTTTTTCATGTTCATGTATAACATTCTTTAAACAAAAGAATGCCACACTTCAGCATAATTTGTTCCTTTAAGGGGACATTCATCTATAATTTACCCCAACCACCAGGAAATACAAAGTTGCTCATTATAGTGACAGGGAACAGGAGAATCACCTGTATGAGGGTTCCTCTGGTCCCCTATCACTTAACTGTCAACAACACTATCTATACTATGCTGGAAATTGATTGACGGATAAGGAAAGGGACCATACCTTTATACAGCTTTTTCATAAAATCTATAAATTCACTAGCAATTATTTATTATTTTGTTTACCATGACAAATAATCTTTAGACTTACAAAAGATGGTTGTTTGGAAAGCTAATTCTGACCAATATAACGTGTATCTCTTTAAAAGTCAAAACGCGTACCAAAATACTTAATAGTCCTGTTTTAATTGAGCATATATAACAGAAGAGACATTTAATGACCCGTTATTGAGTTTATGTAAAATACTTTAAATTGATCTGTATTGAGTGTCTGTAACAGAAGAGGCATGATCTTATATTGAGTGTATTCACAAAATATTTAAAGACCTGTAGTGACCCATAGTTTATGAAACACATCACAAGGTGGATAAAGTAACCCAAAATACTTAAATATCAACTACCTAGTAAGGACAATGATCACCTTATCTATATATCTTCTTCAGTTTTTAAGTGAGTGATGTCACACAAAAGAACTGTGTGTACATCAAGAAGAGATGCTTCCACTTTGATGAAAGATTAATACTGTATTTAGTTATTTTTAAATCAGGGAATTGGATGGGCTATGGAAGGCATTTGACTACCTGGTGTTCATGAAATAGTTTCATATTCCCTGGCTGTTAAACAGGTACAAGTTGTCTGTCCATAGAATGACAAACTCCTTATCATGTTCAAAAGCTGCAGTAGACATTGTGTGCTGGATCCACTCATTGGCTTTCTTCCAATCGATATTTGTTTATATAGAATAAACAGAGAGAAAGGTAACTCATCAGACTAGATTTGGCCACAATGTTTGATATAGACATATGTCTCACATCAGTCACATTGTGATATGACTCACATTTGCTGCTGCATTTGTTACGATTACTGATTAAAGTCTGTAAAATGTTCTGTTTGGATTCATGTGCTGTTTGTGTTCAGAAGTCCACCCCCTAGCGCTATAGTGCTAAAACAACCTTAAAGGAACACTGTAGGCACTATAACAACTTCCTCTTATTGAATCTTATAGTGTCTACAGTCCTGTCAGTGTTCATTTAAGGTTATATGTGTGCATACATAAATTTAATGGCATGATAATAAATTTGAATAACTAAAGAGAAGGTGATATCCTACATATACACATATATTGTACATATGGTGGTATATAGCAAGGGGTTATCCTAGTCCAGGGGTAGGCAACCTTTAAGCAGCACTGTGCCGATATAGGATTGTGATGTCCCGTAGTGTGCCGATCCTATTTTTTTTTTTAAATTGAGGTGTGTATGCTGCCGTATTCTGCTTGTGTTATTTTTACTGTAATTGCTTTGTATCGTTGTATTTGTGTGTATATGAGCTATTATATTGTATATGGTCAGGAGTAGTTTGTGGTGTTGTGTATGATACATATGAATGTGGGCTGTGTATGAGGGCAGCTTGTGGAATTGTGTGTGGATGGATATGTCACATTGTGTGTTTGGTAGTGTGGGGGGGCTGTTTGGGGTAAAGCATTTGAGAGGCTGCATGTGGGGTTTTGTGCATGTATGTGGATTGTCAGTGGTGTTCAGTTTGTTCGGATTGTGTGTATATTTGTGTGTGGGCTGTTCGTATTATTTGTACGAGGGGAGGGTTATTCTGCATTTCTGTGTATATCTAGCAGTGTGGGTGGCTTCCCTGGGTTCCAGTGGGGACCAGGCTGGCCAGGTACAGGTCAAGGACAGGAGCTGCAACAACAACTGCGAGCTGCTCTACTACTGTGCGGATTCCCATTCACAAGTGCTGGAATGAAGTGCTCTGAGATCACTTCCTCTACGTGCTGCAATGCATAAATTGAGGATTGTCCTTCACCACCTCTTCGTATTAGCAGATATCTGAAGTTTTACTGGGACTCCTGATAGGCCAGAGCCTGTTTGGCTGTAGCAGCCTTGAGTGCCGTGCAAAGGCACCTCGAGTGCCGTACATGGCACTAGTGCCGTAGGTTGCCTACCCCTGTCCTAGTCCTTACTATATAGTTGATATTTAAGTATTTTGGGTTACTTTGTCCACCTTTCTAGGGTCATTAACCTCGTGATCTGTTACACAAACTATAGGTCACTAGAGGTCATTAAATTTTTAGTACTTGCACTCAATGCAAGATCATTACATGTCTCCTCAGCTACAGACACTTAATACAGGTCAATTCAATATATTTTACAAAAACTTAATACTGGGTCATTAAACTTCTCTTCTGTTACAAATGCTCAATTAAAACAGGACCATTAAGTATTTTGGTACATGCTTGACTTTCAAAGAGATACACCTTTCAGAACAATCCTCTTTTGCACATTTAACATTTATCTGTCATAGTAAACAAAATAATAAATAATTTCTAGCAAATTTATAGATTTATTAAAAAGCTGTATAAAGGTATGATACCGTCCCTTATCTGTTAATCAATATCCAACATAGCATAGATAGTGTTGCTGACAGTTAAGTGATATGGGAGCAGGAGAACCCTCATACAAGTAATTCTCCTGTCACTGTAATTAGCAACTTTGTATTTGCTGGTGATAAGTGCTGGTGGGGTAAGTGAGTTAGCATTATGCTGAAATTTTGAATTTTGTTTAATGAATTTAATATATGAAAATAAGATGTTATTAGTTAAATGCTTGGTGAGCAAAATTGAGGTTTTAAATATGTGGTAATTGTTCATTAAACACTGAACTGTAGGTAATTTAAAACTGATTTGCAAAATTTATGTAAAAATTTCACACGGTTGGAGAATTTCTCAAAATCAACTATTGTTTTCTAACTCTTTAAATTCAATGACAGGTATCTGTCATTGCTAATTAATTTGTCAGAACAGCCCACATAATTTATAAACTTAGAAACGTATTTTCTATACTGAAATTAAATGCCACATCATGTTAGAATCTAAACTAAATCACAATGATTTTTGTTCAGCAGGTGGGAGCAAGCTATAGCTTTTGTACCTTAAGAGCACTTTTTTTTTTTTTTTTAATTCTTTATTTTTGCTATGCGGGTAGTTACAACAGTGCCTGTGTCGCCACAACAGCAATAGCAGGCTCGATTTTTTTTATAGACATATGATAACAGTATTGTGGCAAGTTGGAGATGCATACATTTTTTAAAAGTGAAAAAGGTAACGATACAGCAGATGAACTATTAACGATACGGTTTAAGCTAAATCAGTGCGACTAGCCTGAGGCATCGTGTGAGATCGGCAAGCTTATATACCTAAAGAAAGCATTAAAGTAACCATGGTCCAAGAATCTCAGCAGTTGTAACATTGCAGTTTCAGCTGTACAAATACACTGATATTATAGTCATATTTGGTCAGGGCTTGAGTTTCTTAAGTTTAAATACACTACGCTTTTGGGGCTCGGGTCTCCCTATATATATTTGCTATCAAAATGCCATAACTCCAAGTCAGCAGGTGTGTTTATTAGCGCCAGTTGCGCTGCTTATATGAATTGTGCTAGTCGTTGGAATGTATGCCTCTGTAGTGTTTTACATATTACTAAACAATGAAATAAACAGATAAACAAGCTGGAACGTGAATGCATCTGGACAATTTGCATGTAACATGTTATTTGCTGGTATGGACAGTTCTGCTGTGTAGGTTAGACTACATGCTATGTGTGATATGAGGGTGATTACTGCTATGTGTGATATGAGGGTGATTATTTAAAACAGACGTGCATTTGCATATAATCAATGTTTCAGTCCAACAAACTTGACATATTAGGAATAGTTTGGTAATGGGACTGAAATGGTGAATGTATGCTGAAACACAGCTGTAAACAATAATGTTTTCTTGTTTATTTTTAAGTTCTATGAGTGTTCTCTTCACTTTGGCTGAGATCATCAAACTTGATGATCTCCGCCAATCCAATGATTTCCCATAGGAAAGCATTAGGAGGCTACTACGCACGTGTGGCAAAATGCATCTCTATTGAGAGAATTCAGCGCCTCCATGGAGAGCGTGGAGATCAGGGCCGGCCTTAGGGGTGTGTGAGCTGTGCGGCCGCACAGGCTGCCATTGGAGCAGGGGGCGGTGTGCGGCCGACACAGCTCACACATGGCCGGCCGGGATAAAAAATAAAAAAAAGACTATTGGGGCGGGGGTAGGGCTTACCGTGCAGCAGGGGGGAGCTAAAAGTTCCCGGTAACTGCTGCAGGGGAAGCAGGAAGGAGTGCCTGCTTCCCCCAACAACCAGTCTTCTGGAGCTGCACTACTTCCACCTCCATAAGGAACATAGGTAACTATGTGTGATTGTCTGACTGTGTGTGTGTGTCTATGTGACTGTCTGCCTGTGTGTGTGTGTGTGTGTGTGTGTGACTGCCTGTGTGACTGTCTGTGTGTGTGTGTGTGTGTTTGACTGTCTGCCTGTGTGTGTGTGTGTGTGTGTGCTGACTGTGTGTGGACTGTCTGCCCGTGTGTGTGTGTATGACTGTTTGCCTGTGTGTGTGTGTGTGTGTGTGTGTGTGTGGCTGACTGTGTGTGTGTGACTGTCTGCCTGTGTGTGTGTGACTGTTTTGCCTGTGTGTGTGTGACTGTCTGCCTGTGTGTGTGTGTGTGTGTGACTGTCTAACTGTGTCTGTGTGTGAGACTGTCTGCCTGTGTGTGAGACTATCTGCATGTGTGTGTGTGTGTGTGTGACTGCCTGTGTGTGTGTGTGTGTGTGTGACTGCCTAGATGGGCCAAATGGTTCTTATCTGCCGTCACATTCTATGTTTCTACGTCTCCCTGTGTGTGTGTGTGTGTGTGTGTGTGTGTGTGTGGCTGTCTGCCTGTGTGTGTGACTACAAGACTGTGTGTGTGGCTGTCTGCCTGTGTGTGGTTGTCTGCCTGTAATTGTGTGTGAGTGTGTTTATCTGCCTGTAACTGTGTATGTGTGTTACTGTCTGTACCTGTGTGTTTCTGCGACTATCTGCCTGCGACTGTGTACATGTGGTAGATTTTACAGTGTATATGTATAACTGTGCATCTGACTGCGGGACTGTGTGCACATAACTCTGCAAAAATATACACCTGCATTCACACATAGGCTTAAATGCATATTTTTATCTGAATTAAATACCCATCACACACAGCCAATAAACCCAGCACAAATATCACATACAACCAATACACGTATACCACACACAGTTAATACACACATTACAAATATCACACACAGCCAACACATAGCATACATATCACACACATCATCACACCTATCACATACACAGACAACAAAAACATTACATCATATTATAGTGAGATGTATTACAGTGGAGCTCTGGTATATAAAATGCACATTACTCTGTTTTATAGTTAGGGAGCTCGATGATACACTAATAGACACATTACTTAGAGTTATATTGTGGTATAGTGTATGATCTTGACACAGAGCTCCACATTACTGGGAGTTTTATTGTTGTGAAGCTCTGTGATAAATGGAGAAGTAGCGCATTACTACAAAATGTTATTTCCAAAGAGGTCAAGGTAAGTAAGTATAATCCAGAGCTCCAAAGCAAAACCACTCACAGTATTATGTGACATACTTAGTCTGCTCCTCTGTAATGTAGGGGAGGCAGTCTGGCACTTCTGGCCTGCACTTTTGTTGGCTGCAGACCATAAGTAGCTGTCTTCCTAGCTCAGGATAATCAGAGCGCTGCTGCAGATTACCACAGGACACCGCAAGTCCCTGAGCTTGCGAGACAGTTACGCATGGTCTGTACCCAGTGGAGGGGCAGACCAGATTCAGATCAGCATGCCCCTCTCCCAACTAGGTAACAACAGGAAAGGAGGAATGAAAATTTGTTTTTAAATCATTATTAATTTAATAAAACCCCTATACAATCACTTCACTCCTATACACACACTATACATGGATGGCGGGGGGGGGGACGGAGAGGGGGGGCTGTGAAGATTTTTCGCACAGGGCGCCCTGGTGGAGATGCTCAATGTAGGTGCTGCACACTGCGCAGCAATGGACTACAAAGCACATCTAACGGCCGTCTGAGAGACTGCCACTAGAGATGTTACTAGCAAGCAAAGTAAACAATGCCTTTTCTCTGAAGGGACAGGCTACAGACACCAGAACCACTACATTAAACTGTAGTGGTTCTGGTGACTATAGTGTCCCTTTAATATGACGTCTTTCTCTCACCTGTCACTCAACTCTTCAGCATAGACTCTTGTGCTGAAGAACTGAGCTACTGGGAGAGAATGAGACACAGGTGAAGCTTTTACTTCCTCCCAACTCCTCTGTATGTCTCTATCCCTTTCAGTCCCTTTTGTGTGTCTTTTTCCCAATGCACGTGTGTCTCTTAGCCCCAGTCACTTTGTTTCTTTCTCCACTTCTCCAAGCCCTTTTGTGTGTCTCTTCCTTCTGCCCCACCACCTCTGCGTGTCTCTTGTTTGCCTTCCTCAGTCCCTCTGTCTGTTTTTTCTCCTCCACAGCCCCCTCTTTGTTCCCCCCTGGCTTTTTGTGTCTTCCCCCACCCTCCGTGTGTGTCTTTCTTCTCCTTGCCCAGTGGCGTACCTACCACGGTCGTAGCTGCAACCGGGCCCGCCACTCCGACCATGGGCCACCACAACTTCAAGGCTGGTGCACTGCCGCACTGGCCTGGGCCCCGCGGTCGCTGGGTGACAGGCAAGGGGGGAGCACTGTGCTGGGCTGGGTGTGGGGTTAGGAGGGTTAATGAGGGCTGGGCGAGGGGGTTAATGAGGACTGGAAGGAGAATGAGGGGGTTAATGAGGACTGGAAGGATAATAAGGGGGTTAATGATGGCTGGATGTGGGGTGAGATATGGAGTGAGGGCTGGATGTGGGCTGAGATGGGGATAATGAGGGCTGGATGGGAAGTGAGGGGATTAAGAAAGGCTCAATGGGGGAGAGGGAATGAGGTAAATGGAGGGGTGGAGAAATTAGACAAATAGAGGGGCTGGGGGAAGAGCGGGGAAATGAGCCATGGAGTAGCTGAGAGGGAGACAATGAGATTCGTGGAGGGGCTGGGGGGAGGGAAGGAGACACATGGGGGGGCGGGGGAAGGAAATTAGACACATGGAGGAGAGAATTAAACAAATGTGTGTGGGGTGCCCCGGGACAATTGTTGCACCAGGGCCCAGTGGTTTCTAGTTACGCCTCTGCCCCTTCAATTGTCTAATTTCCTCCAGCCCCTTTTTGTGTTTCATTTCCCTCATCCCCACTTTGTGTCTCATTCCTCCCCCCAGCCTTTCGTTGTGTTTCATTTCCCCAAAGCCTCTCCATGTGTCTCATCCCCTCCCTTCAGCCACCCCAGATGTCTCGTTCCCCCCCTCAGCCCCTCCATGTGTCTCATTCCCCACTAGCGCCTTCACTTGTCTCAAAATTACCCCCAGCTCCTCTATGTGTCTCATTATCCCCCAGCCACTCCATGTGTCTTATTACCCCACCCTCAGCCCCTCCATGTGTCTTATTACCCCACCCTCAGCCCCTCCATTTGTCTCATTCCCCCCAGTTCCTTCATGTGTCTTCTTCTCCCCCACAGCCCTCCATGTCCCTCATCCCCTCCAGCTCCTCCATCTGTCTCAGCCCATTCAGCCCCTACATGTGTCTTGTTACCTCACACTCAGCCCCTCCATGTTGTCTCTTAATTCCGAGCCCCTCCATGTGTCTCATTCTCCCCCCCAGCACGGCTGAGCCAGGACCGCAGTGGAGGATCTTATGTTCATCACCCTGGTCTTACAGGAAGCAGTGTTTATGTGTGAGTGTATGTGTGTGAATGGGTCAGTGTCTGTGTATAAGTGTCTATGTGTGTGTGCATGACTTAGTATTCCCCCTCTGTAAATATAGCCCCACCTTGGTGGCGCAGGGGACCTGTCCCAGGTTTCCTCTTTATTATATTGGCGACTGGAGAGCTACTTTTTTATGACAGTGAGAAAACACTGGTTGCTTGCTGTTTAGTAGGTGTGCCCCTAAATGAGGCATGGTGGGTGTGGGCATAATGGATGTTTCAAACCACTTTATCCTAATATGTGTGTCATATTAACTCACATAGGCTTTTGTTTAATTTTTTTTTTTTTTTATAACAGGGCTAGACATGAAAAAGGCAGATAAATGTCCTTTCAATGCACATATAGTGGTGGTTTTATTTCAAACAGCCAAACTGTGTACGGAAATAAAATCCAGTCAGAGTTGGAAACAACAGTAGTCATAAAACAGTCAATATTTAGCAACTGGTTTCTGACTAAATAATTAACTCAAGGCCTAAGTGAGAGCCAAATGTAGATGGCTGCTTGTTCACCTTATTTTATGGGGGGCATTGGAGACACAAGTGGTGATAGTACAATGTCTATATTAACACCCAAGGCTTTCTCTCCCTCAAAATTATTGAATGAGAAAAATACTTAGAGCAATGCAATGATCAAGAGGTTATTTATTTTAAAGGGTTGGGGCATTGGTGGCACAGGTTAAGTGTCTGAACTCAGCTCCCAGTCACTCTCTCTAAAGAGTGAGTGAGCATGAGACTGTCAGGGTGAAACTGTCAGGGTTATTTCCACAACAAGTCTCTAACAAAGTGAGACTTGTCTATCAGAGCGCTCTCATTGGTTGACTTATAAGCCAATCAATCAGGGCACTCCCATGGGAATTAAAAAGAGTGGGAAAGCCTTTATAAAGGCTTTTCCAGCTTTCAAGTCTCATTCTGCGTGGAACTCTTACAGGAATGTCCCCCCGTTTTCTGTTTATTAAATACCTGTCCACCTGGCATTTCTAGCTACAGGGCAGCAATGACTGTACCGTCGCAAGTTTCAAACATTTAGAAGATATTCGCCACTTGTTGCATGGGAAAAGCCAGTTACAAAAATAATTAATCGTTGCAGCACCAAGGGTTATTTAACTGTTTGGCAATAGTACTTCAGACTATAATTCACTTTCAAAAAAGCACGTGAACGATAAATTTGTGCATCTTGCTGGATGCATTCGGTTCCAAATTTTAGTAAAACTGGTGCTTTGTAAATATTCCAAAACAAACTTTGTTTATGATTGTGATACAAAAACGTAATTTTTAATCCAGACACAGAATGAATCTGGATGATTGCAACAGATATGCTCAAGCCGACAGAATTCTGACCGTATTCAACTTTAGTAAATGTGAGAATTGCTATTGCGGTCGGAATTTGGTTATTTTCACAGTATACTGTACATCCGAACAAAATCTGGAGAATAAATAGAGTCCCATTCATCCCTGTATATTGTCATGATGATTGCCACTAGTGAAAGACCCAGACATGCTGGTACACGCTTGGGGTGAGGCTGATATTAAAAGGATTAACTACTAAGGTGAGCATTCAGAGTGAATAGCAAATTTAAGGTCAAAATGGCCAAATTGGAAAAGTACTTTCTAAATACTTTTTAGATCGGCTACTTTGGCCTTAGATTTTTTTAAATTCACTTTTAATCCACGCTTTAGTGAATACACTAATATCCGTTTCAGTTCTGCTGCAATCACCTTTTTTGCAAAGTTGTATTATGACGTCAATGGTCCTTTGAGACCTGTTTTTACATACCAACACATCACTATACTTTAATCTAGAAATGTCAAATATAGCAGATTTATAAATAAACAGCACAAGTGATTATATTACTGCTACTTTTACTTATTGTAAAATGTTCTTAACAAAACTCTGTGTTTACTTTAAGACCTTTTTCTTATGTAGAACATCCATCCTGGCTCATGCATATTTTGTGTAAATGCTCACACACACAGACACTTCTAAACACAATCAAACCTGTTTCCTTTAGTGTTCACCAAAAATAGTTCACTTATCTCTCCGCAACTGTACATAACTGAACTGTGCTGCGAATATATTTGCACTTTATAATTAATAAGAATAATAATTTGGTTTTCTCCTCTCCTACATATATAAGACTTCACATACAACGCCCCACTCTGTCCCAGGTGACTTTCTGTCTGCACAGTGTTCTAAGCTCAACTCAAAATCTAATTTCCAAAGCTAAAAAAAAAATTAAATTTCAAGACGGCCTATCGATGAGCAAGCTGTCTGCAAGATAAAATGAGCTAATGCATCTCCGTAAAACCCCCCTGGATGTGGACAGAGAAGAAGGGGGGGTCACTAGTGAATACTTTTTGCTAGTTGAACTAAAGTTTAGTGGTCAGAGCAATTAGATATTCTGGAAGGCTTGAATGACAATGATAAATAGATATAGAATAGTCTGGCTACAGAAATACATTTAAGATGGTTTGATTTATAGTATTTATGAATTGAAATAGAGGCATCTTATATAGAAGACAAGATCAAATGAAGCATTAAATGGACAGATGAGCTTACATAACTATCTCTGCCATAGCATTCTGCTTCCATATTCTTTACTACAATACAATTGTTTCCCAGATAATTAACTAAAACAGACCTTTGTAGCTAAAACAAAGTTATTAAGAACTATAAGATACTTTGGCCCTTCATTAAGAAAACAAACAAGGGGACGACGGTCTTACCAAGAATATCATTTCCACTTTTCCAATCCCTTTACGAAGAGCGGACCCCAAGTGATCTCCTACTCCAGCCAATAGAATTCCAAAGAGTGGGATTCCAACCAATGCATAAAAAATACAGAAGATGCGACCACCCTCTGTCTTAGGCGAGTTATTCCCAAATCCTGAAACAGCGAAGCAGAGGAAACAACTAAGATGAAAGAGGTGGTGGAGGTGGAAGATGTACATACTAGTGAAGTATTGAAGTGGTAGACATAGATCAGGGGTGCCCACAAGGTAGTTCCCCAGAAGTTGTAGAACTACAGCTTCCACGATACTTTGTCATTTTTAAGCATTCTAAAGGCATGCAAAGCATCGTGTGAGTTGATCCCAGATCATGTGAATACAATATCTGGGAATCTACCTTTTGGGCACCCTTGATGGAGTGGTAGACAGATGCAGTGGGGTGAGCTTCATTTGAGAAATGGAAAGAGAAGAAGGAACATAGGAAACATATAAGGAAGGAACATATAAACAAAGGAACATGTAAGGAAGACAATGAGTGGAAAATCTCCAACATTAAGTAGCTGGCATGGTATTTTATACACCTCTCAGCTCTTGTCGTACAATGAAAAAGAAGAACATTAGTTGGGCAAACAAAACTTGCTACAATTATACTTTTTATTAAGAATCCACAGCAGCTTTATAATAGCCATTTACTTTTAGTAGGATCAGGTATTATTTTGTCCAAAAGTATAAATACAGTGCTTGTATATATTGTATATTTTATAGACATGTATATATATATATATATATACTTTTGAATGAATAGGTATACTCTCAGGACTTTAAACCAAACGTGCTGTATAAATCTAAATACAGGTTTACATCAAATAAATAGACATTTCAACCCCACCTGGACCTTTATCAATATCACCGTAAGGTAGAGTATTGTTTCTATTTTTATTGATATATATATATATAAAAATAAAAAATAATATATACATCCCTTTCCCCATGCAGATCATGTGACCATTACCGATGGTGGTGATGACGGTGCCTGCAAAGAAGAAGCTGCTCCCGATGTCCCAGCGCGTAGTGACGTTGGTATCATTGGATGTGATGTCCGCTCCTGAACTCAGGGATTCCTTCACCTGCTGCAGAGCCAGAGGGTCATTTAACCCTTCTCCTGCCAAAGACCTGCAGAATTTCACTCATCCCTCTTATGGCAGCCATGCAAGGCATTCCTTAATCCCCATTAGCAAAGCACTACAGAGCAAAGAAGCCCCTTTGCTACAAAAACTGTACAAACATCACATTAACTCACCCCCTGTAGAGCTCAAGCACAACGTCTTTTAGTCTTACCACCACAAAGTCGTCCAGGTTGTCCTCATTGACACAAGTGTGCATATCAAGAAATGCTCTGCGCTGCTCGGCAAGCTTGCTCTGCTGCAGTGTTTCAAAGGGCTGCTCAAGCATTTGGAAGACCAAAGCTCCGGTCACTAAGTAGACCAGAACTAACCCGAAAATGGTAAGGACAGTTTTCTTCTTCATGACGTTACTGCCAGCAGCTGGTTCCCCAGTTTCAACTTGGTCACCCAATAAGATGGAGTCCTGCGAGGAGCAGGAAAGTGGGTACAGGAGACCAGAAGGGAGTTGTGATATTGGTGGATGGCAGGACACTGCAAGGAGAAACAGATTGAGGTGTTAAATTGTACAATGTGCTGCTTATAATGGACATTACGTATCGGGTCTGTGTCCACCATGAGCAGGCTAGTGAGAGTAGAGGTAATGACACACTGCAGATCACTTAAATGCCACTTAGAACACTGAGTTCAATTCTGGGGCTACAAATTAAAACATATTTTTATTAAATTAGAAGCCCTTACTAGGTATTAGTTTGGAAACGAGATGGGGTTAAGATGACAGAAAATAAAAAAAGATAGGTTTTCTATAGGAAAAAAAGCAGATAGAATAAGGAAATATACCCTAAAAGAAGAGAAATGTGTTGGTACACAACTGAAAATATTTAGGGACATGACAGTTCCCTTCAGCGGGGTGATTTTAGAAAAATTTAGATAGTTGAAAAGTTCAAGACATCTTGGGATGGACACACTGCTGTTGTCAGCATCAAGACTAAAGCCTGTGTTTTTTGCTAAGATATTGGCAATCTAGATGGACCAAGTGGCTTTTAACTGCAGTTAAAATCTATATGTCTGCATTTGTAATTTTTGCCCATATGCAGTGTAGTGTTAAATGCGGAAGAAAATGTGAATGAATGCATTGATGGTGTGGGTTTAATAATGTGTGTGTTTGCATACAAAAAAAGAAAATGCGATTTTAGAATTGTGTATCTTCTATCTGTATATTCAACACATCTTAGACAGATATCATTATGCTGAGCCATGCTTTGCTGTATAAATAATACGGCCAACAAAATAAAAATCAGAATATTGTGTCTATAACATTTAAATCTGAACAGTAGTGCACATACTGTATATAAAAACAGCACACTACACACAGCCACAGAATAACTTTTTAAGTAATAAACAAGTTGTTCACAAAAGGTAAACTTTGTGATCCTTTTTGTCATTAGTAATAGTATCAATAAACTAAAACGTCACCTGTACTAATTCTCATGAGATGCAGTAGTTATATTCAGTATGAAGCTCTTTAAGAAGACTGACTTTATAAAATACTCCGTTTGCAAGCACTGTCAGATGAATATTGATTCTGATATTTACGAACACAGTAAACATGGTTGCAATTAAGAATATTAGATAATTAGGTAAAAGTGCAGAACTGTGTGTAGAGCATATGAATACATAAGTTGATATTTGGATAAATAGAACAATTATATATATAAATACTATACAAAAAGTATATTGATGAAATATTGTTATATACAATTAATTAAACCAGAAAATATTATTTTTATATATATATATATATACACACAATACATATACACACTTACGAAAAGTAAGTTTTATATATATATATATACACAAACACGTACACACGCATGCACACACAATCATAATTAAGTTTTGTTTTTAGAATTGTTACTTACCAAGGAAGATTGTGACAAATAAGAAAGGAATGCTAAAACATGTATGAACAGATCTAACAGAGAGATACAGTTGTAGCTAAGCACGCTGTCTCACACTCAGATACACAGACAGGTGTATCACCCACAAACTGGGCCTGCATGCAGATCATACCGGGCTACTAAAACCCAAAGGATAGTGATACCCGTACACTAAGCCCTCCCTCCCATCCACTCACTGCATGGGCGTGGAGAAAGGGAGAGAGAGCCAGCAAGATACAGAGATACAGACAGAGACGGAGGGAGAGGTAGCATGAGAGAGAGAGGATGGACAAACAACAGCTGGAGTGAGAGGCTGTGGCTGAATAAGGTTGATTAAGAAGACGAGAGATCAAAAACTGATTCATTGCAAAAAGCAACTTATTTTATGCCAGAATGAGAGAACAGCATATATCACTGCAAAGCATCACAGACATCTGAGCACTGGAAATCCCAACCAAGCTCCCACCCCACATCTGGTAACCTCTGCAAAGACAGACATGGCAATTTCTCTCTAATCTCCACTGTTTCTGGGTTCAGAATCCCCTTGGGGGTCTACAGGACCCCAGAGTCACTGTCAGATTACTGCAGGTGGGAATTCAAGTGACAAAGCCTTTAATATACCACCATAAACTAAGCTTTACATGGCTAGGCAACTTAACCTATCCCCAAAAGAAGCGTTCACAAGAACGCCTGGATTTATTTCAGAGACCTGCATATCCCTTTAACCCTTTCCTATCCACGGTCTCATACAGAATGCAAACGAACCACTGCCTTGTATGGCTCTGCAGAATACCACACCCTTACCCTGCCAGGAACACACACAGTAAATCACTGACTTGACCACTGTCAAAGCATTGCTTGCCTTACTGCAAGAAAATATAAACTTCCACCCAAGTATTGACAAACCACCATGACTATTTGAGCACTAAACATCCTTAAAGACGGAACAAATCAAAACCTGCAGAAACAGAACAAGCTAACCATTCCTATGCCAAAGATATCCAGAGATTCCGCCAATGCTAGTAATTAGATCCTCTGCAATTAATGCCAAAAAAGACAGTTTTGTCTCAGTCCTGCAGAACATCACTGAGCCTGTATTCTGCCAGAGTCCGACGCAGCATGCCCTAGCCACTTTTGTGGATGCATCTATAAAATTAATAAATTAACCTCTTTTCTGTCTGTATCTAAACCTGTGTGTTCTAGAGACGAGCACAGAACCACTAAGCCTAGCTTGTTTCAGATCCAAACAAAATTACCTACACACTCCTGTGGCAGAGACTTGAAAGTTACCAACTAGCCGTTCATGGCCCAGAGACACTCAAAGAGCACCTTAAAGGGTCAGTCCAGGCCCCTAAACAACCTTAGCTTGCTGAAAAGCTTTATGTGGGAAGAGTGTGTCCCCTTTTTTATTTTGCAAAAAGGGCAGATTTCAATAGAAACTGACACTTTTATAAATTAAGCTGGTTGCCACCTCCCCTTGGCTTTCAAGCAGACAACAGGTAATTTTACGTCCTGGTTTCGTTAGCTCAATGGAGCTAAACTCAAGAGGCAGCAATTATTTAGAGCACCTGCTTTGCAAAGACTTCTCATTGATCTGCATTAGGAAGTCTGTGATTGGACAGTCACAGAAAGCCTGGGCGGGATTAGAAGGGGAGAGCTTGCAAAGGCAGCAGACAAAATATACCTCCAATGAAAAAAATGCAAAATTAAATCCAAGCAAGTGTTAATTTCGGGTTTATATTCTAAACAGCGATTTTAATTAAATTTGCATTGGGGTAGTGGAGTGTCCCTTTAACAATGTATATTATTATTGTTCTAATTAATTACACAGTGCCAATAAATTCTGTGGCACTAGATACACAGATTAAATAGTATAAATACATTGTTAAACATTCAGGAGAAAACCAACACTGTACATTTTGATCAACGGTCAAAAACATTCATTCCTTAGATAACAAACTACCAATTAAATCTTCCAATCACTCCACAATTCCTTCTGAATACCACTATTAATATAGTGGCTGAATTAACCAAAGGCTCAGATCACCACCTAATGTTGTTTGTTTGTTTCATATCCCTATAGAACAGAACATTTTGCCCCACCCAAAACAGCAGAACCCAACCCTTCTTATTCCAGAGTCCTGCTGTGCACCTCTGGATCATATCTCTGTCAAACACCAACACACACCTACATAACTGATGTTCCAAAAGCTTTTAGATGACCAACCAATGTGCTAGAAGAAATTATTGACCCTCTTTTGGCAGATATCCAAATAATTTTTATACTAGAGTCACTACAGATCACCACTATCATCAGTTCCGGTCACCTTCAGTTGATAAACCAATCCCTGTTATGTCAGAAATTATCTCTTTAACGTCAGAGGACCACGTACGCCATCTTGCACTAGATACACTGCTGATAACCTCCTAACTAACTATTCATGTGCTGGAACCCTGTAATTCACCACTCAATCCCTTTTGTGCTACAGTTTTCCACAGGACTACCTAATCCGAATCGAGCCAAATACTACGAGAACCACATACTATATCTTAAACAAGATCCCACCAGAGGACCACCTAATTCATCTCCACCCAGATTCTCCTAGAGGAACACTTATCTATTTTCTCCAAGACAGATACCGAGGACTACTTTTAATTCAGCCACTGAAATAAGCCTTCAGCTTGCCAGACACTGCAGATAATAAGCAAACCGTCCATGTACCAAAGTCATGTAGAGCATAATTTAACCATTTTTCAACACGAGCCCAAAACCTCACTTAACTCTTTTCTTAGCCCTCATCCCTGGCATTCAAGCAGCTAACATTCATCAGTAAGTTTTTTCAGTATAGTAAATAACTGTTGACAATCAACAGGAGATTGCTAAAAAAATTTATCTCCAATTTATCCTTCTAATATAACCCTCTAACATAAAACACTGCAATATTAACATATAACTGGTCTTCAAAAATATTATAAAGCCTGGTAGCACATTTGTAAGTTGTACTTCTGGTCTATAACATTAGGGGATCTACCTTTTGGGCACCACCCATACACAATTTAATACACACAAACTGCATGAAAATGTTATCCTATCTAAAGACGGTTGCTTCATATAAATTAGAAATATATATTATTTCATGGCACATTATACGGGACAGTAAGACTGACTGGATGAAAAGTAAAACATAGCACAAAGGAAACAAACAAGTAGAACAAATAAATGTAGGATTTGATTAAAACAAAAATGAAACAATAAATGAAAGGAGAAATAAGAGTGTGAATAAGGGAAAGGTAGAATAACAAGGAAAAATTGAGAAATATAGATATAATGTTTAAAACAAAGAAGACTATGGTATGATAAATGCTGATAAAGACACGATGCAGATATATCCAGGTAAAATATAGAGGCTATTCCTTAAACTGAAAATTATAAAGACCTAACAAAGGAATTCCACTTTTTAGGCCAATATAGTCAAATTTTAAAGATTCTCCAATTCACATATTTTTCAGCTTGACTATTTTGGTTTTAAATTTCCAATTTCCCTTATTAATTTCTCCACAATATAGTTTAAAACAAAAAACAAACAAAGAAAAAAAAAACAAATGAAAAGAAAAATGAAAGAATATGAATAAAAAAACAAAGAGAGTGACAGAGATAGCCAGTAGGGAGTTAAAAACAAATAGATGTATCAGTAGATAGTAAAAGACAAAATATAATGGAGAGACAACACAAACGATAGAAAAGAAGAAAAACAAGAAAAAGAAGCTAAAATAATGAGACAGAGAAATATTACATATGTGTATGGACCGTAGACTAATGTTAACATGGGTCGACAGAAATGTGAGACAGAAGAATGAGAAAATATATAAATATATGAGTTAGACAGGCAGAGAGAGACAGAACATACACAGAGAAAATGGTTTTCATAGCAGTAATTAATTTAGCATTGATTTGATCACTATATTCACCCACAAACTCTACTTTAAAGAAGTGTGGATGGAAGAAAAGATGAATTTTAGTAGGCAATAAAATCCAGGGAGAGAGGGGGGGTAGACAGAAATCAAAGCACAAATTGGAGGCAGAAATACTTATAGTGGGAGACAATGAAACAAAGTTCATAAACAAAGTTAAAATATTTTGGGGAAAAGGAAGGTAGGGGTGTAGGGAGGAGGGTGATAGCAGAAATGACACTGTATGTGCCACA